AGTAGATGACCCACAGAGGTCCCTTCCAACCCCCACCATTCTGTGATTCTGTGATTCGGAGTGTTCCTGAGGCGATGAGAGGAAGTGAAGTGATATAAATTTAAAAAAAAACCCAGAAATCTGCACTTCTACGTGACCCACTCAGTCGCCACTGGCCAAACCTGTTGCTCCTTCTGGCATGAACAGGCTTCTCCAACAGCAGCGTTCGTTACCCGTGTGCTGGTTGGGCTGGGCTGGCACATGGGACCCTCAGTGTCTTGGTTTGTCTGAGGCGATGAGAGGAAGTGAAGTGATATAAATTTAAAAAAAAACCCAGAAATCTGCACTTCTACGTGACCCACTCAGTCGCCACTGGCCAAACCTGTTGCTCCTTCTGGCATGAACAGGCTTCTCCAACAGCAGCGTTCGTTACCCGTGTGCTGGTTGGGCTGGGCTGGCACATGGGACCCTCAGTGTCTTGGTTTGTCAGCACTGGTCAGGAGGCACCTAGTCAGGACTTCACAACAGGTTCACTCTCTGAAGTTTATCAGTTCCCTAAATCTCATCTGCCAGCACTTTGACGTTTAAAACTATTCTGGAAGGGCAAATTAGAAATCAATGACGAGCTCATCAACCACTATCAACACAGCCCTGAGAAATGTACATCAGCCACTGGGGAAAAAAAACCTGCTAAAATCACCTTTATGGAGACTGAAGAAAAAAGCAGAAACGCTACCATGCGAACGACGGCGACACTCCGGTCCTTTCAGGCTTTCCAGAACGCTGACACCGGGCAACTCAGCCAAGAGCAGCCCACAGGAGCGCGGCGGAGCGCGGCCAGGCCGTCGGGCTGCTGCAGTGTCCCGAGGACCGATTCCAGTCCTTTTTAAAAATAAGATTTAGAAATAAGGTCCAAGCCTCACTTCAGAGAATTCTGGTGGAATAGCAACTAAAATTAATAAATAGTCAAAGGTAGAATTTAAGTTCGGGTGCTGCAGTGTTCTACTCGCACGTGGGCTTTTATTGAGAGCGCAGGAGCACTCACAACTCCTAATCTCATATAATTCAATTTTCCATTGTTTAATCAATGGCAGTGTGATAAATGCAGTTATTAAAATGCTTGCAATAAAAATAATATGGAATAAACCATGTCTGTACATTGAAAGACCCTTCTGATATTAGTTTGATCACCCGTAAGCCAGAGGCCAACACGTTTTCTTGAACTGACACCTGGCTCAGCGAGATCATTTCTTTTGGGAACGACAAACCAGACGATTCTTTTCTGCTGGGCTACGCAGCACAGGTTGAAGCTACACTCTGAAAGTTAGCAAAAGTCTGCTAACGAGAAAACAAAAATGTAGTGATACAAATAAGTGAAATTTTGAACACTATACATGCAGATAAAGGTCGTAGCACACATAGTCATAGCAAATCTATTCCCCAGAGATCTATTTAAAGGTGTTGTTTTTTTTTTTAAGTGACAGTGAATTAACTCAGGGTATGTGTGTGTAAGCACAAGTACGCGTACATAAACATGAGTTTATAAGTAAATTCGCATCGCGCCTTTGGCCCACGAATGGAAGCAAGGAGTGACCAATGCGTCTTCATGCCCCTTCCCTCCAACCAGCTTTCAGTCTCGCGTGTTGAGAAGGGACTGTTTCAGTTGCAAAGTTCAGATTTTGGAACATACAATAATTAGGAAAATGCTTAATACCCACCCTCTTTATTAAGTAATTTCTTCAAGTATTTTTAATAGTGCAAAATATTGTTTTGCATTTGTACAGTAACTATGGGAATTCACAGTCAAAAAAAAAATCTTAAAAGATTTCCAAAGTCAAACAAAAAAATTTTTAATACTGTATTTTTAGCAAGAACATTTTTAACAAAGAATGTGTACTTTAACTTAATATGGTACAACAGAGAAACCATACTTAAAAGTTTCCATTATCTAACACTCTACTGCATATTCATTTCTTCATCTTAAAAGACCAAAAGCCAAGCTGAACTGAGCATAAAAAAAAGCATCAATTATAATCCTCGTATTACGTCAGCTATTAGGGTTTAGCTCACACTTTTGAATTGGTCATCTAATGAAAGGACAATTTTTACATCATTCTTTTAAAAAATGTACACACATTTCTTTTTAAAACGTAATATATATCGAGTATCTGCTTCAGTAAACAAAGCTTAATTTATAAACACAATCGAAACAGCTCCATGTTGAACAGTTTCAGTGATAAACCGGACTGGTGTGATGTACAGCCAGTGAGGACCTTTGTGGCTTAAAATTATTGTGCCATTGCTATACAGTAATCGCTACCTCCTTAGAAAAAAAAAAAAAAGGTTCTTTTTTTGGGGGGAAAGGGTGAATAATTCCTGTATGTGCTTAAAAATACTAAAACTCCTTTCTATCTCCGGGGACCTAAAAATGATCTGTTGCAACGGGCTTGGTTTGGTATGGTAAGCTTGTAAAAAGTCTCAATATTTCTTAATGACAATACGGCAGTTTTCGATGCAGCAACAGTAAATTGCCGGAAATTGTCCTTCAAGTTTCATGCTACAAATCCTGTTCCTCACACAGTACTGAAGGCATCAAAGGTTGGGAGGGACGTTTCTCATGAACTATATAGTCTTCAAATAGTGATCATTATACATTTTTCAACAATAGGTGTTTGCTTCAGTACATAATAGTAGGCTTGATGTATGTTCTGTTTTCTGGAGGAAAAAAAAAAGAGAAGAAAAAAAGTCAATTACACAGTTACACGTTTTATAATTAATTGAAACTTAGCTGGGTTTCCTTATTTGTTTTTGGACTTTAGCTTTCTTCCCTCAAACCACAGCATCAGATCTAGAAGTGACACAAACCACCCGCCGCGTGCGTGTGCTCTACCCTGGAAACGGCAGCACGGGACGACACAGCCTCGCGACGCCCGC